ATTTTTGAGACGTCTCAAAAATAACCTCTCTACAAAGGCCGTACCAGGTTATTTTTGAGACGTCTCAAAAATAACCTCTCTACAAAGGTCGTACCAGGTTATTTTTGAGACGTCTCAAAAATAACCTCTCTACAAAGGCCGTACCAGGTTATTTTTGAGACGTCTCAAAAATAACCTCTCTACAAAGGCCGTACCAGGTTATTTTTGAGACGTCTCAAAAATAACCTCTCTACAAAGGCCGTACCAGGTTATTTTTGAGACGTCTCAAAAATAACCTCTCTGCAAAGGCCGTACGAGGTTATTTTTGAGACGTCTAAAAAATAACCTCTCTGCAAAGGCCGTACCAGGTTATTTTTGAGACGTCTCAAAAATAACCTCTCTACAAAGGCCGTACCAGGTTATTTTTGAGACGTCTCAAAAATAACCTCTCTACAAAGGCCGTACCAGGTTATTTTTGAGACGTCTCAAAAATAACCTCTCTACAAAGGCCGTACCAGGTTATTTTTGAGACGTCTCAAAAATAACCTCTCTACAAAGGCCGTACCAGGTTATTTTTGAGACGTCTCAAAAATAACCTCTACAAAGGCCGTACCAGGTTATTTTTGAGACGTCTCAAAAATAACCTCTCTACAAAGGCCGTACCAGGTTATTTTTGAGACGTCTCAAAAATAACCTCTCTACAAAGGCCGTACCAGGTTATTTTTGAGACGTCTCAAAAATAACCTCTCTACAAAGGCCGTACCAGGTTATTTTTGAGACGTCTCAAAAATAACCTCTCTACAAAGGCCGTACCAGGTTATTTTTGAGACGTCTCAAAAATAACCTCTCTACAAAGGCCGTACCAGGTTATTTTTGAGACGTCTCAAAAATAACCTCTCTGCAAAGGCCGTACCAGGTTATTTTTGAGACGTCTAAAAAATAACCTCTCTACAAAGGCCGTACCAGGTTATTTTTGAGACGTCTCAAAAATAACCTCTCTACAAAGGCCGTACCAGGTTATTTTTGAGACGTCTCAAAAATAACCTCTCTACAAAGGCCGTACCAGGTTATTTTTGAGACGTCTCAAAAATAACCTCTCTACAAAGGCCGTACCAGGTTATTTTTGAGACGTCTCAAAAATAACCTCTCTACAAAGGCCGTACCAGGTTATTTTTGAGACGTCTCAAAAATAACCTCTCTACAAAGGCCGTACCAGGTTATTTTTGAGACGTCTCAAAAATAACCTCTCTACAAAGGCCGTACCAGGTTATTTTTGAGACGTCTCAAAAATAACCTCTCTACAAAGGCCGTACCAGGTTATTTTTGAGACGTCTCAAAAATAACCTCTCTACAAAGGCCGTACCAGGTTATTTTTGAGACGTCTCAAAAATAACCTCTCTACAAAGGCCGTACCAGGTTATTTTTGAGACGTCTCAAAAATAACCTCTCTGCAAAGGCCGTACCAGGTTATTTTTGAGACGTCTAAAAAATAACCTCTCTACAAAGGCCGTACCAGGTTATTTTTGAGACGTCTCAAAAATAACCTCTCTACAAAGGCCGTACCAGGTTATTTTTGAGACGTCTTAAAAATAACCTCTCTACAAAGGCCGTACCAGGTTATTTTTGAGACGTCTCAAAAATAACCTCTCTACAAAGGCCGTACCAGGTTATTTTTGAGACGTCTCAAAAATAACCTCTCTACAAAGGCCGTACCAGGTTATTTTTGAGACGTCTCAAAAATAACCTCTCTACAAAGGCCGTACCAGGTTATTTTTGAGACGTCTCAAAAATAACCTCTCTACAAAGGCCGTACCAGGTTATTTTTGAGACGTCTCAAAAATAACCTCTCTACAAAGGCCGTACCAGGTTATTTTTGAGACGTCTCAAAAATAACCTCTCTACAAAGGCCGTACCAGGTTATTTTTGAGACGTCTCAAAAATAACCTCTCTACAAAGGCCGTACCAGGTTATTTTTGAGACGTCTCAAAAATAACCTCTCTACAAAGGCCGTACCAGGTTATTTTTGAGACGTCTCAAAAATAACCTCTCTACAAAGGCCGTACCAGGTTATTTTTGAGACGTCTCAAAAATAACCTCTCTACAAAGGCCGTACCAGGTTATTTTTTAGACGTCTCAAAAATAACCTCTCTACAAAGGCCGTACCAGGTTATTTTTGAGACGTCTCAAAAATAACCTCTCTACAAAGGCCGTACCAGGTTATTTTTGAGACGTCTCAAAAATAACCTCTCTACAAAGGCCGTACCAGGTTATTTTTGAGACGTCTCAAAAATAACCTCTCTACAAAGGCCGTACCAGGTTATTTTTGAGACGTCTCAAAAATAACCTTCTACAAAGGCCGTACCAGGTTATTTTTGAGACGTCTCAAAAATAACCTCTCTACAAAGGCCGTACCAGGTTATTTTTGAGACGTCTCAAAAATAACCTCTCTACAAAGGCCGTACCAGGTTATTTTTGAGACGTCTCAAAAATAACCTCTCTACAAAGGCCGTACCAGGTTATTTTTGAGACGTCTCAAAAATAACCTCTCTGCAAAGGCCGTACCAGGTTATTTTTGAGACGTCTAAAAAATAACCTCTCTACAAAGGCCGTACCAGGTTATTTTTGAGACGTCTCAAAAATAACCTCTCTACAAAGGCCGTACCAGGTTATTTTTGAGACGTCTCAAAAATAACCTCTCTACAAAGGCCGTACCAGGTTATTTTTGAGACGTCTCAAAAATAACCTCTCTGCAAAGGCCGTACCAGGTTATTTTTGAGACGTCTAAAAAATAACCTCTCTACAAAGGCCGTACCAGGTTATTTTTGAGACGTCTCAAAAATAACCTCTCTACAAAGGCCGTACCAGGTTATTTTTGAGACGTCTTAAAAATAACCTCTCTACAAAGGCCGTACCAGGTTATTTTTGAGACGTCTCAAAAATAACCTCTCTACAAAGGCCGTACCAGGTTATTTTTGAGACGTCTCAAAAATAACCTCTCTACAAAGGCCGTACCAGGTTATTTTTGAGACGTCTCAAAAATAACCTCTCTACAAAGGCCGTACCAGGTTATTTTTGAGACGTCTCAAAAATAACCTCTCTACAAAGGCCGTACCAGGTTATTTTTGAGACGTCTCAAAAATAACCTCTCTACAAAGGCCGTACCAGGTTATTTTTGAGACGTCTCAAAAATAACCTCTCTACAAAGGCCGTACCAGGTTATTTTTTAGACGTCTCAAAAATAACCTCTCTACAAAGGCCGTACCAGGTTATTTTTGAGACGTCTCAAAAATAACCTCTCTACAAAGGCCGTACCAGGTTATTTTTGAGACGTCTCAAAAATAACCTCTCTACAAAGGCCGTACCAGGTTATTTTTGAGACGTCTCAAAAATAACCTCTCTACAAAGGCCGTACCAGGTTATTTTTTAGACGTCTCAAAAATAACCTCTCTACAAAGGCCGTACCAGGTTATTTTTGAGACGTCTCAAAAATAACCTCTCTACAAAGGCCGTACCAGGTTATTTTTGAGACGTCTCAAAAATAACCTCTCTACAAAGGCCGTACCAGGTTATTTTTGAGACGTCTAAAAAATAACCTCTCTACAAAGGCCGTACCAGGTTATTTTTGAGACGTCTCAAAAATAACCTCTCTACAAAGGCCGTACCAGGTTATTTTTGAGACGTCTCAAAAATAACCTCTCTACAAAGGCCGTACCAGGTTATTTTTGAGACGTCTCAAAAATAACCTCTCTACAAAGGCCGTACCAGGTTATTTTTGAGACGTCTCAAAAATAACCTCTCTACAAAGGCCGTACCAGGTTATTTTTGAGACGTCTCAAAAATAACCTCTCTACAAAGGCCGTACCAGGTTATTTTTGAGACGTCTAAAAAATAACCTCTCTACAAAGGCCGTACCAGGTTATTTTTGAGACGTCTTAAAAATAACCTCTCTACAAAGGCCGTACCAGGTTATTTTTGAGACGTCTCAAAAATAACCTCTCTACAAAGGCCGTACCAGGTTATTTTTGAGACGTCTCAAAAATAACCTCTCTACAAAGGCCGTACCAGGTTATTTTTGAGACGTCTCAAAAATAACCTCTCTATAAAGGCCGTACCAGGTTGAGCACCGCGTTGGCGATGACTGCTTTTTGAGTCGACTCAAAAATCGACTCATCCCAGAGGGGGAAGAGGACTGAGAGGGGGATACATGTTGGGGTTGATTGTGAAGAGATGGTTATGCACACCCCACGCGGATCAGCGTTTCTGGGAAGAATGGGCTGGCGGATAAGGCAAAAGTGGGTGAGGGAGAAGGAGGGAAACAGGGAGAAGAGGGGGAAGACGGGGAAGAGGAGGACGGGGCCGAAAAGGGGAAGGTGAGGATGTGCTGTGAATGATTGGGGGGCAAGTTAATTCCATTGTCTTCACTTGTTCTTCCCTCTTTGGCAGTAGCCTGGAGGCTGGAGCTACACATTATCTTCGTGCTCTCTCCCTCCATTCCTGAGTCGACTCAAAAATCGATTTCCACTATCTCCTCTTGTTCTTCCCTCCTCGGCAGTAACTTGGAGGAGCGACACGTGCTCCCATGCTCTCTCCCTCCATTCCCCGCCTCCTCTTCCCCCTTCTGTGCAGCTGCTCTTTACAAGCCTGAGGGGGTCAGACAGGGACTTGGATGCAGTGATATGGAACGCGATGCTGAGTGCGTTGGGGAAGAACGGGCGGGTGGGAAAGAGGCAGCAGCATAATCTCATGCTCTCTCCCTTGGTTCCCTGCCTTCTCTAGTTTTGAGGCGCCTCAAAACTAAAATCTCATGCTCTCTCCCCTGGTTCCCTGCCTTCTCTTCATCTTATGTGCTTCTGTGCAGCTGCTCTTTACAAGCCTGAGGGGGGCGGGCAGGGACTTGGACGCAGTGATATGGAACACCATGCTGAGTGCGCTGGGGAAGAACGGGCGGGTGGAGAAGTGCCACTCACATATGATCCCATGCTCTCTCCCTCCACTCCTCGCCTCTTCTTTCCCTCCCTCAGCTGCTCTTTACCAGCCTGAGGGGGGCGGGCAGACACTTGGACGCAGTGATATGGAACGCCATGCTGAGCGCCCTGGGGAAGAATGGGCGGGTGGAGGAGGCGAAGGAGCTGTTTGCGGAGATGCTGGAGTGTGGACCGACGCCCACCGTCTACTCCTACTCTATTATGATCGACTCGTGAGTGGGTGTGAGTGGGTGTGGGAGAATGAGTGTGCAAAAGAGTGATGATGGAGGAGGCGAAGGAGCTGTTTGCAGAGATGCAGGAGTGCGAGCCGACGCCCACTGTCTACTCTTATTCCATCATGATTGACGCGTGAGTGGGTGTGGGTTGAGAATGAGGGAGAATGAGAGGGAGTGCAAGACAGGAGTGCGGGCCGGCACCCACCGTGTACTCTTACTCTTACTCCATCATGGTTGATGCGTGAGTGGGTGTGAATAGGTGTGAAGGGAGGGAGAATGAGAGTGCAAGGGGGTGGAGGAGGGGAAGGAGCTGTTTGCAGGCATGCAGGAGTGCGGGCCAGTGCCCACCGTGTACTCTTACTCTTACTCCATCATGGTTGATGCGTGAGTGGGTGTGAATAGGTGTGAAGGGAGGGAGAATGAGAGTGCAAGGGGGTGGAGGAGGGGAAGGAGCTGTTTGCAGGCATGCAGGAGTGCGGGCCAGTGCCCACCGTGTACTCTTACTCTTACTCCATCATGGTTGACGCGTGAGTGGGTGTGGAGAGAGAACGAGAGTGTTTTTTGAGGTGCCTCAAAAATCGTGAGTGGGTGTGGAGAGAGAACGAGAGAGCAAAGGAATGCAGGAGGGGACGGACACTGTTTGCTGAGATGCATGAGTGCGGGCCGGCGTCCCCTGTGTAGTGTACTCTTACTCCTGCCTCCCAGCTTATGTTCTCCTGCCCCCTGTCCCCTCCCCCATTTCGGCTATGGAAAGGCCGATCGGATTCTGGATGCCTCAACCACGTTTGCACGCATGCTCTCCTTGGGTCTGCGCCCCTCCCTGCTGACTTTCAACTCCATGCTCGCTGCTCATCCCTCTCCTCCCCTCCTTCCTCTTGTCCCCCCTCACCATGCAGTTATGGAAAAGCCGATCGCATCCTTGATGCCTCTACCACGTTTGCACGCATGCTCTCATGTGGTCTGCGCCCATCTCTAGTAACTTTCAACTCCATGCTCGCTGCCTACCGCCGCGCCGGCATGGTCAACGACGCTGCTGCTCTGTTCCGGCGGATGCGGGCAGAGGGGGTGCCTCCCAACCACGTGTCGTATGCGATCCTCATCCACACTCACGCTCAGGCCGGGGATTTGAGAGAGGCGACGCGACTGTTCAGGTAAGCTTGTTTCTTCATGGGCAAGGGGCACGGGGCATGGGGCACGGGGCACGGGGCATGGGGCATGGGGCATGGGGCATGGGGCATGGGGCATGGGGCACGGGGCACGGGGCACGGGGCACGGGGCACGGGGCACGGGGCACGGGGCACGGGGCACGGGGCACGGGGCACGGGGCACGGGGCACGGGGCACGGGGCATGGGGCATGGGGCATGGGTCATGGGGCATGGGGTGAAGGAAGCTGCAGTGCTGTTCCGCAGGATGAGAGCAGGGGGGGTGCCGCCGAGCCACTTGTCGTATGCGATTCTCATCCACACACACGCACAGGCTGGGGATCTCAGAGATGCCACTCGGCGCTTCTGGTGAGTGAGTGCGATTGTTCTTCTTGTCGGTGCGTGGGTCAAGTGTCCCACTGTTTGCTTCCAATGTGCTTCTTGACTTGGTGCAAAGAGGAGTTTTTCTCTTCCTCACCACCCCCACACCCAACCCCACCACTCCCCTTCCCTGTCCTTGCACCCTCCTTGTTTTCCCTTCTTTTTCTCTCTCTCCTCCACCCTTCCCCTCTCCACTCCCTCCTCAACCTCCACGCGTTTCCCGCCGCTGGCCCTCTCCCTTGTGTGCCCTTCACTCCCCCTGCCCTCCTTCCCCTCATGCCACTCCAGAGAGCTGCAGGACAGTGGATGTGCCGTGGATAACCCAACACTGCACCGGATCACCTCGATGCTCAGAAGTGCCGGCAGAAGCCACTCCAGCATGCTCTAGGTGTTCGAGCATCGGTATCCTGGTTTGAGAATTGAGATGTTTCTGTTTGGGTTCCAGACAAGACTCACCTTACCTACTGACAGTCCATGACCCCACGCTCCACCGAATCGCCTCCATGCTCAGAAGGGTTGGCAGGAAGGAACCACTGGCGTTAAGGAAATTAGTACAGTACATGCCGCATTGCCATAGTGTTGTTTGTGGTGTCTATGTACGAAGCACACGAGAGGAAGGACGAGTGTTGAGCAGCAGAGTACTTCAGGAGACGTGCTGTGGGATGAGTCAGGGGCAGGTGGAAAGCAGCAACGGGCTCTGCCCCATGGAAGCAACTGGCACAATTGAGCCGATACTTTGAGCAAATTTTGAAGTAGCAGAGCAGATTGTACGGTATCAGGAATTAGGATTAGGGGACTCTTGCTAAATTTTACTGGCGGAGGAGAACAGGCAAAGAATCGTCTGACATGTGATGTACGGTACCTTTCTCACTGCTTGTCAAAGCCTGACTGCAGATGATTGGGTTGGGTTGGGTGTATGGCACAGTTCATTCAACTTTCCATTATTATACAAGTCTCCAAGCATGCTTCTATTGTGGAGATCCAGGGCATTGCATTCCATGGTACCTATCCGCATCATGTAGGCATTTGTCAAATGTTGAACATTGTTATAATAGGCTGCAGTGAGTAGCACTGTAGAGAGTTCCAACACTTTCCAGGTTTGCTATTTGTATCACCCACTTTCCTAGTTCATCCGTTCTATTGCGTTCCTACTTTGAGATGGTATCACGAGTAGATTAGACTCCTTAGCTAGCCGGCGCCCTAGCGACCTCCGCGCCCTAAACGCCCTCCGTCACGCGCCCTCGCACCCTCTGCGCCCTAGCGCCCTCCGCGCCCTAGTGCGCCTCCGCGCCTCTCGCGCCCTCCACCACGCGCCTAAGCGCCCTCCGCACCCTAGTGCGCCTCCGCACCTAGCCCGCGCCCTCCCGCGCCGTCCGCGCCTAGCCCGCGCCCAAGCCGTGCGCCCTCTCCTTAGCCCGCGCCTCGGGTCTTAGCCCGCGCCTAGCCCGCGCCCGAGCCGCGCGCCCTCGCGTTAGCCCCCGCCTAGCGCCTTAGCCCTCGCCTAGCCCGCGCCCGAGCCCATGCCTTAGCCAGCGCCTTAGCCCACGCCTCGCGCCCTCCGTGCTTAGCCCCGCCCTCCGCGCCGTCCGCGCCCTCCATGCTTAGCCCCGCCCTCCGCGCCTAGCACAGGCTGAGCTCGCGCCCACGCCTTATCCCGCGCCCTCGCCTTAGATTGGGCCCTAACGACGCCCTCCCCAAAGGGAGGCAAGAAAGGGGGGAAAAGGGGGGGCGGCGGTGGAGGAGGTGGCGGTGGTGGAGGCGGCCCTGGGGGCGGCGGTGGTGGCGGTGGCGGTGGTGCCTCAGGCGGAGGGAGCTCTGGAGGAGGTGCTGACCCGCTTGCTGGAGGAGGTTCGACCAGCGGTGGTGCGAGGCCCTAGCAGCAGCAGCCACAGCAGCAGTAGCCACAGCAGAGACAGCAGCAGGGACAGTAGCAGTGGCAGGCACCACAGCAGTTTCAGTCATGGGGACCACCACTGCTGTGGGGTCCGCAGCAGCACTTGGGCCCTCCGCCACAGTGGGGACCCGGAGGACCCGGAAGCACTGGTCGCGGCAGCAGCAGCACTACCAGCTGGGCCCCTCACCCCCCGCGGCGCGACACCGGCCCCTACGACCACTGGTGCGTCACCGGACCGGGCAGTCCCTGTGTCTGCGGCCGCGACGACCACTCTGCGGCGCCGTGCTTGCCGCCTCGACGACCTTTGGGCTGGGGTTTGAGGCGACCACCCCGCGTTGGGCTTGCCTACTAGCCCGTAAGATTCCTGTATGTGAACTGTCTATGGACGATGCTCGTCAGTATGCCTTGTATGCTGATGTTGACTATAGTGCTGATGGATCTGTGTGCTCGCGCGTCCGTAGTCTAGCATGCTTGCCTCCTGTTAGTGTAGACCTATGCCTCTCTAGTCTAGGTGCTTGTGTTTCTGCTCTAGGTGCTTGTGTAGCCTCCGGACCTGACACGCCTCCGGCTGAGGCGTCTCTGTCGTTCACGCTGGACTCTGGCGCGTCGCAGTGTTTCTTCCGCGACCACACGACCCTCACACCACTCCTTGCTCCGGTTCCGGTAGCTCTGGCTGATCCTTCTTCAGGACCAGCCGTTGCGCGCAGCTCCACTACCCTCCCGTTTCCTGTGGTCCTCTCTGGTGTCCTGCACGGCCTCCACATCCCCTCGTTCACTCGAAACTTGGTGGGTGTTGGATACCTCCAGGACTGGGGGATCACCGTTACCTTTGTGGGGGGTGGGAGGACAGCGGTCTGTACAAACGCCGCTACAGGTGCTGTTCTGGCCACGTTCACCAGGGAGTCCCGCTCTGGTCTCTACGTTCTCCACACCGAGCGCTCTCCGGTCCCTCCGCTCAGGTCGCTGTGTCCCCTGAGGTCCCAGTATCTGGTCCAGTTGCTGTGTCTGGTCAGGTAGAGGTGTCTGGTCAGGTTGCTGCGTCTTGCTCCTGTCGGTCCCTAGCCCACCCTACCGTCTTGTGGCACCACTGCCTTGTGTCAGAGGTCCACTTGTGATCCCCGATTGATCCTAGGGAAGGGTTACAGGCTCGTTGTCCTGGGGGGTTATGGGCGCACTGACCCGCTACTTAGCAAGCCCTTTTATCCCAATGGTCTAGTGGTTGGGATTCTGACATGTTATCAGAGCGAAGGTCTCGGGTTCAAATCCCAGTGTGTGCACTTCGGGCATCCCAGTGCGGGGGGGTGTCAGAGGTCCATTGGTGATCCCCGATTGATCCTAGGGAAGGGTTACAGGCTCGTTGTCCTGGGGGTTTATGGGCGTACTGACCCGCTACTTAACAAGCCCTTTTATCCCAATGGTCTAGTGGTTGGGATTCTGACACCTTGGCCACCTGTCGCTCCCCCGCCTCTGCATCATGGCCAGTCACAGTCTTGTCTCAGGTCTCCCGCGCGTCTTTCCGTCGCTCCCTCCCTCGCTTGCCCCACCCTGCACTCCTTACGTCGCCGGCCGCCTGCGCGCCACTC